ACACTACACTACCCAGCCGTTGTCACTCATGTTGCTCACTCGTCGTCCAACCCGAGCGTAACGAGAGGAAGAAACCTAAGATCTAGTTTTCTGTTCAATGAAACCACTACCAAGGCTACGTTACGGTGATGTACTGAAATCAAGAGAGGGGCATTATAAAAGTATCTGCAGTACAGTACCATCCTATGCCGACGATCGAAGGAGTGAATAAGATACATTGAGACGAAGGGAGAGGAGAGGAGCAGGAGGAGGACAGAATTCCATCCTCTCTGGAAATTGCACCAATACATCTCAGTACAGATCGAGGACGAACTCGCGCATGAATAACGGTGTATATTTTGTATGAGTGCCCAGACACAGATAGAGAGAGAGAGAGAGAGAGAACGGAGGGACAGAAACAGAGGGAGGGAGGGAGAGGCTGGGAAAGCTCGAACTGGTTCATGATTTAGGCCCTACAGGCTACAGCATGAAACATCCATCACCTATGGAGAGAGAGAGAGAGAGAGAGGTGTACCCAACATGTACGCTTTGACTTTTGGCTATAATGAGAAACTGTAGAGATCCGGGATGTAAAATTTTGTAGTCACACGAGCAGATATGAGGTCATGACTCATGAGGGCACTACTCGTGAACTGTTTAGGATGGGTAAGAACTTTTCACAATTCAGAGGTCACTTGACTACTCTCCTGTACATCGGGTGCGTTCATACTGGATTTCTGGCCTTCTTTTGTCAGAAGACACGAGCAAGAGGTTCCCGCTGCGTGTGCTGTAAATCTGCTGCTTCTATCACGAACTTTTGATGACCAAGGTTCCATCTCGTACTCATGAATATGAATCTGTGTCCCCGCTCTCTAACACATGCTCCCATATAATGTATTTGTGCTGTGGTACTCATTATGACCTAGGAGAAGTGGAAAGGACGCTCGGTCACAGCTCTCGTGTCAAAACACATCCTTTGCGTGTCTTCTAAAGGCACTATTGCTTAGGATCGAAGAAACCCCACGAGCTTCGCTTTACCTTTTCGCCCATAAACTAATAGCAAAAGATAATTTGCTACTCCGGTCATCCAGTGTCTTAGGCCAGGTCACTCACAGTCGTAGTCATGCAGCTCTGGATTTCAACACCACCTTCCTGCCTCGCGTGTCATTCGCCAGTCTTCCACATGCACAATTACTAATCCTTAAAGAGGCGCTCAGTCTCCACATAATTAATCGTAGACCACCTCTTTGACCTAGTATCTAAGATCCTCAGGTTTCTGCTTTACTACTTCAGCAGCAGCAGCAGCAGCTGCTGCACCAGGTGTTGATCATCTATACCTAAATGCCTCTCTAATCATCGAATGGACAATTATCGACTATTGACTGCCGTAGACACCTACCTATTCTAGCAACAGTATGAAGGCCAGGGAGCATTGCCCGGTTACTACTGCCAATATTGATCAAAATGTACGAAAAAATGTCACCTTGTGTATGGAGTACTCGGAGTCGTCGTAGTAGCGGTCGAAAGAGATGGTCAGTACACCCTGTAGGCAGTATGATGTCACAAACAAGCGCACTGTGTGTGTAAGGGTTAGCATTCGGACTTTGTGTTCAGGTGATAGTGTAGTATATGTGGAGACACAAGATGAGTGTCGCATAAGTACAAGAGGGTCATTGAGCGTGGGTGTCCTTTTTTGTCAAAAAGCTGCGTGGAAAATGTTGAGTGAATTCTGGGACTGTGAATCTAACTCTCTCTTCTTTCTATCTCACCAGCATACTCTAAGATTCTCCTCAGGTTTTCCAAGGTGTCATCGAGTGTATGTACGTACGTCTTGTATGATCTTGCTGTGAGTCCTCCATTAATAGATTCTCGAGACAGATCGGTCTTATAATCATGATCAGAAGAAGTAGTGGAGTACTATGATGGCTATGTCCACCAATCTCCAACGAGTAGTAGATAATGATGGATTTTTGTCTCATGAGTACAACCACCAGCTGCATCTCGTAGTGGAGTGGGAGTCCATGCCCATGTTTTAGCGAAAGAGAGCGAGAGCGAGCGCAAGTCAGAGAGGGAGGGAGGGAGGGAGGGAGGGAGAGAGAGAGAGAGAGAGAGAGGAAACCTTTACAGGATAACAGCATGGGAAAATCATGTGGGTGGTGGTCTGATCTATGGTATGCTACGTTATTCTACTGTTTACTTTGGGAGTTCAGTCCACACTTCTCGTCCACTCTGAATCCGTCTGATCTGGTCTGAACTGAACAAATCCGAACAAAAGGATGTCTAGTCTTGCTCGTTCCAAATAATGGTAGAGAGAAGAGAGAAGTGAATCTTTCTGAACCTGACCTTCTCTCCCTCGCGCACTCACTCATTCCTAACGATCCATAGTCTTGGGCCTCCCTAGCATCTCTCTAGTATCTCTCCATGCCCCGCTTCTCTCCTCTCTAAGACTGAATTCTGGACTCGACTGGAGTAGGAAGCATCTCTCTCGCCTTTCTCTCCAGGGGTATCTTTTGTACAAACCGTACTCCTCCTGAAACTACAGCTCTCAAGAGGAAAGATGTATCGACTACATTTATAATCTGTAGCCATCAAATTAATAAACCTGTCCGTATCGTAAAGCACACTTGCCCCGGATACCTATATTCCCGTACTATTACATCCATGCTCGCACCCCACAATCTACCCCTGCTCGGCCCAGATCAACAAGCAAACAAAACCAGGAACTCATTATTGATGGCTTTCAATCGGTCATGGACCGATATCAATATATTGCTTTGCCTATCATGACCCCCGGTGTACTTTACAAGACATGAATCTCGACGGGCTTAATTATTTGCAAATTTATCGCTGCACCTAATACGCACCCAGTCGGATTATGAGTACATTCACCATTTCCCACTACAGTAGACTCCACCCTCCAGACTGACACACAGTAACAGCTAGAGAGAGACGAGATCGGGCGATGGAACGATCGATCGATGGATCCAGAGAGAGAGATATTAGATAGAGGGGATGGGATGGGATGGGGATCAGAGGAAGCGTGAACTGCTGCTGCAAATCCGGTGCATCCAGTGCCTCGCACGCCCTCGCGAGGTGACGGAAAGCTCCAGCAGATGAGCCCGAGCGCTCCGTCCATGGAGGCTCGGCTGTGCGGTCGTTCAATCGTTTGTTTGTTAGCGGAGTAATCATTGAAATAGTTGGGCTGACAGGCACCCTCCGAATTAACGCAGCAGGAGCAGCAGCAGCAGCAGACCAGACTTTCCGTGATACGAATTGATATGGGGCTTGCTATTTACGGCGCCAGGCAAAGCGATGACATGAGAGCGAAGGGCGTCGAGCGCAATGGATAGCGTAAAGGCGCGTAATCATTGGAAGGACCCTTTCATACAACGCGGTGTTCTTGTATCGGACGACATTAACCCCGCCACGCGTGGAGCGAGCCCTGCAATCGATCATGCACGAGGGGATGCTCCAGAGCGCCAAACCCTAAACGGGACCAGCCCGGCCTGAAACCACGGTTAGGCGCACGCGTCAACATTGGTTCTTGCACGCTGCAGAGGGAGCTGGAAGCTGTTCGTTCGTACCTTTCCTAACTGTACTGCGCGCGACTGTGCCTCCAGGTCGCCGTCAGGTGCTCAGTCCGTCCGTCAGTCGTGACTTGACTAGACTCCTCTCTGCCGTGCCTACGGCCCTACTCGGCTCGCCAGTAGGCGGCACTGAAGTTCCATGGAAAACTCTGAACTCTGACACCGTGGGACCCCACGTCGCCTCGTCTTACCGGCCAGCGTCCGCTCGCCGGTCACCCGGCAGCCGCTCGGCCGAACCGGCCCCGTCTCTGCCTGCCATAACCGACAGCGTGAACCATACCGAACCGCAAACCGTCTGCTCGCCGGCAGCAGCGTCGGGGACGGTCTCGGCGTTCCGACCAAGGCGGTCCCGCCCGGCACATCGCGGTGACCGGCGAGCGATCACCAGGACGGGCAGGCCGGAAATGCTTCGTATAACGTGTCGACAAAGAGCTCCGAGGTCTCGAGATCAGTCGCGTAGACTCACGCGTACGGTTTTGGTATACGACGTATGTAGGTAGACACAGGGTCGGGAGATGAGATGAGATGAGATGCGATGAGATGCCACCGGGACGGGCACGGCGACTTATGGGGCGACGGATAATGATAAAGAAGCGCCGAAGACTTATTCGACCGATGATTTGGATTAGCGGCGCCGGGAGGCGAAAATTGCGTTGCGTAGTGGTGTACGGAAGGAGAAAGGGGGGTGCTCGAGAGCATCACGCAATAGACGGAGCGAGAACTTGACCGAGCGGAGCGGCGCTCGCCCCATACGGCACGCCCGGTTGTCGGTCTGGGGAGGCGTGGAGAAAAGCGAGGGCAGGCGGGCCATGGACGGACGGACGGACGGACGGACGGGCGGGGGGGCGGGCGGGACAAGACAAAGGATGGCGAGAAGGAAGAGCACGTGCCAGGTGGGGGAGGCCAGGCAGGGGCCGGCCTTGTTTCGTAGGACAGACAAGACAGAGTCAGGCCGTCTCTACTGTCGAAGGAGATGCCCTGGCCTGCTACGCTAGAGAGAGGAGAGCTGGAGACAGAGAACGCGAAAAGGGTTTCGGGGAGTCGAATTATTGAGGCAGGGCAGTGCAGAGTTGGCGCGGGCGGGGGAGGCGGACCGGGGGAGTCGTAGAAGAGGACAGGCCGGACGTCCGAGCAGTTCTTCCGCTGCGTTTCTTCTTTATTCTTGGCCTTGCCGGACCAACCCCGCAACGCTCCAAAAGCAGGTGGGGAAGGTTTAGGTTCGGGACTGGCCTGCGCTGCTGCCTGCCTGCGAGCCTGACACGCAGGCCAGACACGCAGCCAGCCAGCGAGCCAGCAAAGAAACGCCAGTCGGCCCTCCAGGCAGCCAGCGAAGCCGAGCCGAGCCAAGAGCAAGAGCAAGAGGAGGAGGAGGAGGAGGAGGAGGACAAATACGATGTCATGGCCATGGAAGAAGCACAGAGAGAGGAGGACGAGGACGAGGAAGAGGAAGAGGAGGAGAAGGGTACCGGACGTCGCTGGCTCGAGAGCTCGGTGCGTGCGGACGGAGGAAATACCTGTCCAAATTGCGGCTTTACACGTCCGAGGGGGGAGGGGGGAGGGGGGGTGTTATTTAGGTAAACGGTTTAAGGGAAAAGCGGAGGGGGGGGAGTAGCGGGCGCGGCAGGCAGGTCGCTGTAAGAAGACTGGGTGGCTGGGTGGCTGGCTGAATCCGGCCACCGGGTCTTTGGACGCTAGGCCTGCTGTTGCGCGACTGGGTTCATGCAGGCAGACGGGTAGTTCATCGACTCGGTCAGGCATGGCTCGGCTCGTTGTGGACCTCAGTGGATGGGATGAGATTGGGCTGCGAGAATGTGGGGTAGAGCTGATTTCAGATAGCCGATGCAAATCTCCAGTGCGGTGGTTGACGGGAATTGCTTATGGCCTCGTGGTTGCAGCGTGAAGATCAGATAAGCACCCTTAGCTAGGCGGCTCAATATAAATATGAATCTCGAAGGCCGTGGACGTATCACTGAGCCCAAGTCTCCACTATTCACCTCTGCGCTTTAGCTCGCTCTGGATGTCGCACCGACTGGGCTGCGTGCGTAGTGTCTGCATGCAATCATTTATAGGTTGTCTTGTGCAGCTGCACACGAGTCTCACTTCTTGAGTCAGCTCCCCACGAGGCTTCCAGACCCTTACCATTAGTATCCAATCATCTTCTACACCTCCCCGACCCTCTCGTAGTTCGTACAGCGCGGGTGCGTCTTGCGCTCTCGCTTCTCGTCCCAATTCTCGAATTCAGCGTTTCTCGTGGCCATGCTGCTCCGCGCCGGTCAACGAGAGAGTGCTGTTTTACTAGTGCCCGACGCCCACCGCGCCTCTGGACTCTGGCCGTGTAAATAGAATAATCTTTGTCTTGCTCCCAGTCCTCTTACCCCGCCCGTCTCTTTCACTCGCGCTCTCTAGCCCTCTCGCGCTGCGTCCCTGCCAGCGCGCCTGCCTGCCCGCCTGCCTGCCTAGCATCCTGCCGAATGCGATTCTCCACCGCAAGCGCGAAATCATGTCGTCGCCTGTAAAGCGCAACTCGAGTACTCCTTTTTCAACCGCGGTCAATTCTTTTCCATGGCGAATGGGGATCTGGCGCTTGCGCTCCGAGCATAGTGGACCTCCTGGCCAACGGTGGTACATGGAGACCATAGGTTTGCAACCGCCCATCATCTTTGTCCTCGGTAGCTCGCAAACCAGTGACCATTGCTGGAGGTCAGATCGGGTTTCAGTCGCGTCCCTGGGGAAACACAAAAGTGAGGCCTGGAATTGCGGTAAAGATCCATCCCGGATTTGCATTCCTTGAATGGTCGGTGCAAGAACTTGCTTCTCTCAGTATGACAAGCTGAAATTGGTCTGGTTCCTCGTCCAAACGCGTCATGGTTACAGTGATACCCGACAAAATGCTAAGCTTCGTGCAAGGCTGTGGTCTCCATGTACCACCATTGGTCAACTGGAAGGGAATTCGGTCTCCAGCTTTCTTGCTCTCTCTCTCGCCCCCGGCACGTCCGTCGCGAATCCACTGCGGTACGTACCCTGCTCACAACCTCGTGCTTGACCATGCTCTTATCTGCAGAGGCCGCGCAATGTTTTCCACCTGTCGCTGCGAATTTCAGACGCTCTTTTCGTGCTCTTCCCATCGAGAGATCTCAGGCTGCAGCGCCGTGTTCCTGCCTGATCGGTCAGGCCTTGTGGCACGAATTATTGACTAACCGTGGTGTCAAGTTTCTGCAGAGATGAGTTGACAATTCATTGCTTGTTCTTTGATCGAACCGCTGGCCACTAAGGTCCTCATCGATGGTGATCACCCTGATGCTATGTGTGGAAGCCGAGGTCTTTCTCAGTCAGGAGGCACTGGAGTGTCTCGACCGCGTCCACTAGTCTTTCATCCCACAGCTCGGAGATTGCAGTGGCAAAGAAAAGCCCATGCTAGGAAGATTATATATTCAGGGTTTTCGCAGGCAGTCACTGGATGTTCAAAATCTGCACGAGATACCGAAAGGCTGATCAAACATTGCCTTGAGTGTGGAAAATGCAGCAATGTACATACTGCTTGTCCCGTCTGTGAATGTGCGCTCCAATTTGAATAAATCATCCGTTCTTGGAATTCCAACTATTCCACTCGTACTCTTCACGTATGACAGGAAACGTTGTTTCTTGGAAGTGAATGTGGGTCAAATTTAGGTTAGATGGATTGAGATACATGGTAAGGCGAACTTGCCACCGGGAAATGAGGTTGTGAAGAGAGGAGGAACGATTACACTTTGAAAGATAATGTGCATTGTTGTAAACTCTCAGTGCATGCACTGCTGTCGTCTATCACCCCTAATGTGCACCGTGGTTTACCTGAGTGGAGATGATGGTTTGATATGCCGAAGGTTAGACATAGAGAGATAAGAGAATGTGAGCCCGCTTCTCCTACAAGTGGACAAAGATTTAACTACAGAATACTCATTTTTGTGGCAGGGAGGGGGCTACCTGAACAGGTGAGAGATTGTGGAGAAAAGACTGAGATTACCACTTGGATGTATCAGTGTGGTCTGTTTAAAAATCTAAGTCTCCCACTGCGTGACAATAGGAGACAGTAGCAGCTGATTTAAACCCTCGCAAGCAAAGGTTCGAAAGGGAGGTGTTCGCCCTGAAAGACTGGATATACACTACGGTTCATATTTGGAAATGGCAAAGATGGAGCGATAGATCTTGTATAGTTTGACAGTTTTCACGTCAGTTCTTACACTACCCATGAGCCACGACTTATGCAGCCGTCGACAACCAAAAAACACGCAATTACCTATGCAGCCTACAATTCAGAATCTTGTTTTAAGCGTTAACACGATACTGGGCGAAAATCGACCACACTGAGGACTCCGAGCAAAAATATATGTGAATTAGCCTTCGTAATGCACATAGTGCGCAACAGTCAGCCGAGCGTGAAGACGAGCTCTACGAAGGTTAGATGCGGTGAATTGTCCAGACAGAACTAGAGAATTATACCACCGATCACGTTAGTCGGTTTAATGCTGTCATGTTGGAGAATTCGTGGGGAGTGGGAAGATCGAAATCCAGGTGTTTGTTTACAACTGAGAAGACAATGAAATTCACATGCCACATGAAAGCAATGTGATGGGAGAAAGCAATGTGGGGAGAGAGCAATGTGGCACAAGCTGACTGACCACTGACAATGAAGGCCTTGTTTTGAAAAGGTCTTGCTAGCTACGGTGGGCGCTTATACCGATCTTGAGCAACAATACGTTATTGGAGGGGATGCTCTACGATGTCGAGACCTACAGAAAAAGCAACACTTTTGTCTCTGAGCTGTCAGACCGTAGCGCTGATGATGAGTGGCATTGTACTCACATGTAACCAATACGGCCCTCCAGTTGGAAGAATCAAAGTCGGAAGAGCCGGAATGAGAAACAGCCATGCTGCTGGAACACGGACCTAGCGAGAGCTACTGGCAAATGGAAGAAATATTGCATCTTCGATGGAACAGTTCTCGATATCTGACTTCGTCCAAAGAATCACACGAAACGGGACGAAGACGCATCGATGAACTGTTTCTCCGATCACTCGTCAAACTCCGGGTTCCGACCACGGCTTCCAGATTCCTGGGGGGGGGGGGGGGGGGGGCTCCACATTTCAAACCAAACCAAACCAAACACCACGACAAAGAGCGTGGTACAACAAACCCACGAGCATCAAGCTCAGTTGCCCTCAAGTGAGATCTCCCGCAGCTACGTACGGAGCGATCCAGATCTTGAAATCTTGAGTTCCATCCGGAGCCAGCGAGGTGCTGAATCCTGAGACGCAAGGGGGAAGGAGGGGGAGGGGGGGAAAGGGAAAGGGAAAGGGGCCCTTCAAGAAGGGCGAGAGCTTGCCGAGCGGCTCTTGGCGCCACTATGTCCAGGTCGTTCTGAGCACGGTAAGACAAGGCGCTGGGGGCTGTACATGTCATAAGCGGCGTGATTTGGCGTCAACTGCCGCCCCGGGCTAAAGGGAGACGTTCTTTGTATTCTTCCACCGAGAAAATGATTGTGCGCGCGAGCGAGCGAGCGAGCGAGGGAGCAGTCGGTACGCTACATAGAGGGCTCATGATCATGATCATGATCGTGATCGTGAGGACAGCGGTTAGAAACACACGTCGTCAACTTCTCATGGCTCATTCCATGGCTCTGTCGTAACTCCGTCATCAAAACCTAGCGAGGTGAAAACGACATACGATGCCCCCCCTCCTCCCCCTCCCCTCCGACGGCCGGCCTGCCTGCTTGCCTGCCAGCCAGCCATCATATCATAAGCAGCACGGGGCACACGAACTGCAAAGTCTGCAAGAACCCGCTGTGTACTTCCATCCATCCCTCCGTCCCTCCATCCCTCCATCCCCCGCTCGACTTCTTCTTCTTCTTCTTTAATTTAAGCAATGGCCGACCGGTTCCGTCGACGCTCCTCCATACTGCCCGTTGACCCCGAGGAATCACGGGGTGTCACACGCCTGCCTCGTCTTCGAGGGCTCGATCGTACATCTTGAACCCCCCGGCAGCAGACCGCTCGCGCTCGCCTTAATGCTGCGCGCAGCGTGGTCATTCACGAGGCTCTGCTGTTTCCAGGACTCTTCTCATCGGACTCGAGTTCGCGTCACGGTGTCTGCTCGGCTCGGATTCGAGACAATGTGCCTCGTGGCTCTAATTTCGGACTTTGGTCGGTTGCTGCACCGGATCCGGGTGTTTCGACCCCGAGCTGGGATCAGACTTGCCTTGGGCCGTGACGGCACGATCGTTGACACCGAGGAGTAAAAGTGCTCTCAGTCACTTACGCTCAGAGAAAATTATGGCCTTCTCAGGACTAATAAAAAAACGTCGGAACCTTCTTGGATCTTGGGTGGATGAATCTGACTTGTCGGGCAACACTCAATGCTTTGAGAGGTTTGCGGGTTTCGTTAGGAAGATGATTTCGTGCGCCACTTCTTCGAGTGGGGATTTCATTTGGAGATCCAAACAAGAATTTGGGGTATGATTCGCGGGAGCCATGTTCGAGTGCATTTGATCCTGGGAACCCAGGTGAATGACGATACGTGAAGGTCAATGGACCGCTCGAATTACTGGGCGTTGGAACATGGCACACGGGCATTGTCAGTGAACGAAATGGCTCGCAGTCGCCCTCGATGTGGGGGCGAATTCAAAAGGCACCTTCCTTCTGCTGGGGATCCGCGCAGTGCTTGGGGATTTGAGCTGGCGAAGTGTACTAGCAGAGCAGCAATCTACTTCTCGTCCACCTTCGAGCTCATTCAGCTACATTGCCATGCAAACTGCCCAAAAAAATATATATTAGTTCAAACCATACCGCAGTCAAGAATCATCTCTCGCAGCAGCACTCGTTCAGTGAATAAACAGTACACTGATATTGATACGCTGCCCTCGATGCGCGAAACCGTCGAGTATTGTGGTCACGATGGGCTGAGAGCCACTCATCATCTGATTCAGGAAGAGGAGTTGTGTATGCAGGCGACACTTGGGAAGGAGCGCTTGTCGACCACTTGCCACTCGAGCGAGCGATGCTTCATCTCAGACAGAGCTATGTATGCAGCAAACGCTCTGAGGAACGAATGGTGAACACGGAGCAAACGAGCATCTCTGCCCAGATTCCTCCAGCTGCTGGCACTCGCCGAGCTTGCACCTTCGAATTCAGCAACGAATCGAGAGAAGGAGAACGACGCGCTCCGCTCTGCACTGCGCTGCGCTGCAGAATCCATCCCCTGGAGATTCCTGCGAGTTTGCCCACGCTGGTCACCCACATGACATCAAATCAGGATTCAGGTGCCACTGAAGCTCGACCGAACATGCGCCCGCCCGCCCGCTCTATATTATATATCTCTGCGCGGACCAGCAGATCTCATTCCTGCCTCCATATCTCGACCCCAGGTCAAAGTGACGGTTGATCTTACGCAAGGACATGCTAAGATATTTTCAGTGCTGCCGGCCTTCGTCCAGCCTTGTGAGTCCATCGCTCGACCCGTCTCTCGCATGAGTTTACGTCATGCGGTATTCGTACATTCCACCCCATACTGTCATTTTCCTTCGCTCGCTCGAGGGCCCTGCGCTGGTCTAGCTCCTCCGGTACGAACTCCCCGTAGGCCAGGAGCAGTCAGGACTCCGGACTCAGGAGATTCATGCTGCAACGGAATACGTATGGAAGCGTCCATGATCGAGGAGGAGGAGGAGGGGCTTTGTCAATGTTTGGACTTCACGGTACGCTGTATGATGGGGTGCGCTAGGACGCTAGGACGACAAGAGTAGTTAGTGTAGAGGGAGGGAGGGAGGGAGGGAGGGAGGCATCTTGTCCAACATTCGAAAGCGGATCAAGGGTCGAACATGTGGATAGATGAGGGATTCATGTGGAGGCCAAAGGGCGCAAGATTCGTGGTCAAGTGGTATCGAAAGGAGTAGTTTATATTCTGGGGCGGGCTAGCGGACAAGGACGAGAGCCAGACAGTGAATTTGGCTTGTATGAAGGGGAAATAACGTAAGGAGGTCATCAGCGGGCCTCTTTTGTTGTGCACCAGGTTTGAAGTCGTTTGTCATGTAGCTACCACGACAGGACGAACATCATGATGAAAGCTATATTCTCCGCTGCCTTTTGATCGACCTCGGATTTTCCGAATTTCTTTTCTCTGTTGCCTCGCTGGTGGGTAGAAAGAAAGAAAGCAAGAATGAAAGGGAAGATGCTTTTGCGAAACTCTATCACCCACTCCATTATCACAGGAAAGTGGCCAGCCCGACAAGGCATGCTACGTAGCCATGCCCCATGTGATCGTAGCCATATGTCACCGATCGATCTTTCTCTTCGGATTCAATTCCCTGCTGTTGATCCAACAACATACCCACATCCCACCATCACTTTCTGAGATTCTCCTGCCTCATCATTGAAAGTCAACTTTTGCAACTTTAGCAACTTCTAAACCTCCCGTCTCCCTCTCCACTCGACATGAATCGCGCCATTGATGTCCACTCGATCACCGGGCATATTTGCAGTCTATTGTATCTAGCTGACTATTTCGCTCCCAGCAGAAGTTTCCACTCTACTCTTAGCCAACCCCCCTCGTCCGTGTACATGTTTG